CCAAAAACACCATTTAGTGACGGATTTCAAACTCAAAAATGGCAAAATTTTAGCAAGTAGGCTTCGAAGAATGTAGCAACGGATCAGAACGCAGCCTTAAAGCGTTTTCCAGCTTTAAAAACAGATTGAAATCCCCTATGAAAACGAGTTTTCATTTCCGGGTCACGTGACTGAATCTACCAATGACAGAGCAACAACGGGGTGAGAGGAAATGACGTAGGCACGTCACTCACTTCTCAGCGAATCACAGCGTCCCAACTCAGCCTTTCCAACCAATCACGGATCGTTTTTCCAACTAGCATGTTCGCCTTAGCCTGAAAAAAGTCTGTCAACTTTTCGTCTTTTAAACTGTCAAAATGCACCATTTTCTGCTAAAAATGCAACGAATCAAGCTCTGAGCTGCACGGAGTCGGCGCCCCAGCATTAAAAACGTCTTTCCAACCATTTAAAACCAACCGTTCGAACTTTTCAGAAACCGAACCGGACCAGAACAGTGTCTGGAACACAGTTTAAACAGAATAAAGCGTTTCCACAGCTCAGCAAATTTGTCACACAAAACAGACGTACAATTTCAGCTTTCAACAGACACGTTGACTCACAATTTCAGCGTTCAAAACACCGCTAGCTCAACACAGCGTTTTCTCCAAGAGTCGCAGCTCAGCTGCGTTTCAACACAGCTACAATCTGCACGTACTTCACAGCAGAATCTGCACTTTTCATGCCAACATGATATCAATTTTACACGAATACACAGTCCATTTATGAACACGTAACGGGCCACCAGTATGTAGATGAACATATACGTGAGATATATTCATCAATTAAATGGATTCTTTAATTTTTCTGGACTGTATATAACGTGCATTGAATTTAATAAAATGTGGACGTGAGACGTTAATTATCTTTGACTCACCACGACAGTGGGTCATTTATTAACAGAATCAAGTTTAACACATCATACATTTACATTAATTGGCAAAATATGGAAAATAACAACATGGCTAGTTTTAGCAAACTGTACAATTTTGATTATCCACACGGCGGTGGATGAGAACTTTACACAGACATTTCTAAAATATCTGGAGTGATTTCTATTTGATAGAAGAATTTAAAGATGGAAGATGAAGTTTAGAGGGAGGGAGATGGTGTGTGAGGGGAAAGTGTTGAACAGAACGACACCCTCCATTCGAACCCAGCTTTCCTCGGTACGCTCGGTAGTAAACTCGACTCGTTACCTCTCTGAAGATGAATCAGCGGATACGGAGTTCCAGTTAACGCTACCGGTTCAGCGTCTCCGTAGGATGGCTGTGAATCGTCCGAAGTAGTGACGGTATTCCGTCCGACACGGTTCACCTCACGAGTGGACTCACATGAGTGGAGTCCGTCAGAGTTCCACCCAGATGTGGAAGAAAGTTATAATCCCATAAGACTCGGAAGAGCTCTGTGGTCATGTCAGGATTTTCCTGTTTCCCAGCACGGGAACTCGACCGCAACCTCGGCTCGACTCAACTGGAACTTCGACCCAACAGGAACTTCGACCCAACAGGAACTTCGACCCAACAGGAACTGGGATGAACTAGGAAGTACCGACATTTAAAGAGCTCTATTTCCGGTTCATCTGGGAGTTTCTGATTGGTCAATATCGACCAGACAGGGGTGTGTTTTGTGACGTAAGAGGTCACTAGAAGTCAGAAAAACAGCAGGAATGTTATGGAACAGATTGAAAATGTTTTTAGAGACAGAGAGAGAAATGTTTGGACGGGTTGGCGGAAAACATTTGCCAACAGGTGCCAGCTTCTCTATTTACGTCTGAGAGGATGTAAAAACAAGACAGCTCGTTCCAACACTTGTCTGCGTTTGAGTCCAACCTTGGACCAACACTGCTCATTCAAAGACAGAAAATCAGAAAATGCATAATTACTCTGTAACAGACCTTAACATGAATTCTAACTTTGCATGAGGATTAAAAATCGTTATTACTGTTTCACAGTTAATAAAAATTGATTAGTTCACTACAACATCTAAAATGGTTTGGACTAAAACACTTTGATTATCAACATTTGTAAAATAGTAATGATAATAAAAAAGAGAGTGTTCTTTCACTTGAATTTTCAAGAAAGAAAGTCTCAGGATGGGTCAACCTGTATTTCTGGATTCAAATCAATGAAATGACAGTTTCTGTCCCAGATGGTTCTTAAGGTCAAGGTCTTGACCTTAGGTCTAGTTCACTACAGGCTGATGGTCCTTCTTGAACATGTGATCAGCTGGTTTTGGTTGTCAGCAGCAAAACTGGTTGATCCACTCTGAGAAGGTGCTATTTAAGAGACTGAGCTGAATACAGCACCTCAGACTGAGGAAGTCTCTCGGAGGAGAGACGAAACGTTTATATTTTTTGCTTTGTTTTGTTTTTTAGTTTTTTTTGAATGTCCAGAGGACCAGATTGAACTTTTTTGGATTTTTCTACCTGGATTATTGAGCATGCATCAGGATAATACATGTTATACTGTCTCCAGGTTCTTTTTGGACAATATGGACTTCAGTTTAGAATTTGGATATGACTGAGGGGTCAAGGTTCATTTTTTTTCAGGAGAAGCTAAACAGCAGCATGTTAAAGGTTTTTGGCACCACGCCAGTGGATAAACTGCTATTTACAATAGCAAGAATGGACAGACCTAGAGTAGGAAAAACCTCCTTTAGTAGTCGAGGGGGGACAACATCAAAGGGGAAACCATAAGGTTTCAAGTTGCACATGACCTGCTCTAGAGAAGATAGAGTGATGGGTTCAAAATGGTCAAATAGAGCTATAGATTGAGGTGGGATGGATGGGTCAGGAGTTGGAGGGGAAATGAGAGTCCGGGTGGTCACAAATATTTCCAAAAATAAATGTAGGAAGTTCTCGCATAGCTCAGTCGAGGCATCCAGAGGTGATGGTTCAGTGAGGTGGAGAACAGAGTTTAGGGTGGAGAAGAGGACATGTGGGTTGCGAGAGTTTGAGGTAATTATATCAGAGAAGTATTTGGATTTAGCAGCTTTCACTGCTTTCTGATAACGGCGCCAACTCTCTTTAAGTATTTGAAAAGAGACCTACAGCCTGTCTTTCCTCCACTTGCGCTCCGCCCTCTTACATTGCTGCCTAACGGCCTTGGTGACGTCACTCAGCCAAGGTTCTGCTCTGAGTTTTGATTTTTTGGGTTTTAACAAGCGCAACATGATCCAGAGTCTTTAAGCAGACAGAGTTGAACTGGGATGTCAGCTCCTCAGTGGTAGTGAGGAACACCGGGGGCTGAATGATCATTTCAGAGTTATAAACATCTGTGAAACATGTGGCAGTGAAATGGTTAATGGTCCTGCTACTACGTGCAGGAATGCACGGCTTAGGAATTAGATGGGGGAGGGTGAACTCAAACCGGACTGGCATGTGGTCTGAAAAAAACATTATCACCAATTTCAAGATTACTAACAGTCACATCACAAGTTAAAACAAGGTCCAGTGCATGTCCGCGCTCTTGGGTGGGACCGTTTACATGCTGAGTTAAATTAAGTGAGTCCAATAAATCTAAAAAGTCCTTAACCAAGGGCTTTTCAGGACAGCACACGTGCAAATTAAAGTCCCCAATAATGAAAACATGATTATATGTTGGTGTGATTTCAGCCAAGAAGTCAGAAAACTCATTTATGAAATACTTAGAGCGAGGTGGGCGGTAGACGAGTGCAAATAACGTCGGAGGCGAGTGGCCGATTTCAAAGACGCTCAGCTCAAAGCTGGCGTGGGAAACTGGGATGGGCAGTTGTTTACAGACAAAAGTTGGTTTGAATATTGTTAATAATCCACCACCGTGCAGGCCTGATGGCCGTGGTGCGTTAAAATACAGACAGTTCAGTGGCAATAATTCTATCAAGGCGTTGGACTCACTTGGAGACATCCAAGTCTCTGTGATGCAGAAAAAGTCCAACTCGTGCTCTTGAAAGTAGTCCCTGAGGATAAAAGTTTTGTTGGTAACAGATCTTGCGTTGACCAAACACATCCGGATACTGTCCAAAGTGGAGCTAGCAGCGGTGAAGTTTGCGCACATCAGTGGTCTCAGGTTTTCAATAACAGCTCCTCTGGGTCGGTCCGAGCTGCGCACCGGCTGACAAGTCCCGTTGTTTACCTGGTCCGGGCACGAGGGAAACTGGCGATGGAAACCATGACCACCAGCTGAAGAGGAAGATGTAACGTGCAGGGCTTTAAGCTTTACCAGCCGCCCAGCACGGTTTCACCAGCGTCTGAAGCGATGTCTCCAGGCAGGGAGGTGAGGAGCGCAGTGGAGGTAAGCTAGCACGTCCGCCAGCAGGGGGGTCCAGAGATACGCTCATATTGTTCCAAATAAGCGACATCGGTGATAGAAAAACAAATATCCAGAAGCTGTTGTCGGTCATACACCAGCAGTGGGTTTATATAACAGATAAAAAACAAACAAAACAAAAATAATCCAAACACCATCAGCAGAGGTGGATTGCAAGCCATGCACACGGGCGCCATCTTACCGGAAGTGCTAGATAAGTACAGTCCATTTACCACTTACCATTAGAATATGGTAAGACACAGTACACAGTATACTTTATAGTCCCTGTGGGTAAAGCAGTTTTCTAAAAGAGCATATATACATGCACTGAATAAGTCTTCATCTTCTTTCGGCTTTTCCCTCTTCAGGTGTCACCACAACGAATTATCCTCCTCCATCTCACTCTGTCCTCTGCATCCTCTTTTCTCACTCCAACTACCTCCATGTCCTCTCTAACTGCACCCATATATCTCCGCTTTGTCTTTTTTCTGGCAGCTGTATTTCTAACATCCTTCTACCAATGCACACACTATCCCTCCTCTGGACATGTCCAAACCACTGTCCATCCTCTGGACATGTCCAAACCATGCACTGAATAACATTATTTAAACAAATGTATGCACACAGACAACCTGTATACAAAGTAATTTTGAGTTTCTTGCTAAGTTGCCTTACCACACCCCACCACAGGGCATCAGCGTAGCTGGAGAAGCCCGTCTTGCCCTCCTCATCGACAGCATCTTTCTCCGCCAAGTAGACAAAGTAGGAGGAAAAGATCAGACCCAGAAAGCCGATGTACAGGGTGGTGATCAGCTCCTGAAAAGTTCAATTGATCAAAGATAAAAATAATAAAATAAATGCTGTATGAAATCACATTTGATTCTATTAAAGCTCTTTGAAATAGCTACTAGTGTTTAAACCAGTGGCTCTTTGCGACACCACTTGGTTGCTGAGGAGTGGGGTAGAGTTGCATTCGGGCCTAAAAAATCCGACCCGACCCAACCAATAAACTATAATTACAGGCCCAAACTCGAAAAAAGGAAATTAAAAAAAAATTATCGGTAAGCTTTTACTGCTTTTGTAAACAAATCAGTTTGACATGGTATTTTAAGAACGTATTTCAAAGAAAGGAAGATATAAGATTTATTGTCTCACCAAATGGATATTAACATACAAAATGAATAGCCTAAAAAGTCAACTCTAAAGATAGGCTATTATACAGATGAACAAAAATATTTTTAAAGCAAAATTACTAGGAAAAATACAGAACAAGGCTATTTTAATTGAACGCGCTGCTCGCTTTGGCTTTTGTAGCTGCTGCTACTTCCTTCACCGCAGATGACAGCAGGTGTGGAGACGTGCGTGGCCGGTGATCAGCTGATCCATCTTAAGCTTAACTGGGCATTTTTTTTACCTCTTTCAACCGGCCAGTCGGACCTGCCTCCTCCTCAATAAGTAGATTAACACAATTTCATATCATGCATTCTTATTTAGTTTTCTTTGTGCTGTATGATTCGTAAAACTGCATCAAAAGCTGGAGAACGACCCGACCCACCATCAAGCACATTATTTTGGGCCGACCCGGCCTCGGTTTAGAGATTGCAAGTCTAGAATTGGGGTGGGGGTCGACATGGAAAACCCCATCCATCCATCCATCCATTATCTTTACCCGTTTATTCCATTTTGGGTCACGGGGGTCGCTGGTGCCCATGTCCAGCAATCACTGTGCGAGGGGCGGGGTACACCCTGGACAGGTCGCAAGTCCATCACAGGGCCACATAGAGACACACGAGACAAACAACCATTCACTCTCTCACTCACACCTAGGGACAATTTAGAGTTACCAATCAGCCTAACATGCATATTTTTGGTCTGTGGGAGGAAACCGGAGTACCCGGAGAAAACCCACGCATGCACGGAGAGAACATGCAAACTCCACCCAGAGGGCCCCTGGACCGGGGTTTGAACCAGGGACCTGCTCGCTGAGAGGCAGCAGCTCTACCAGTTGCGCCACCGTGCTGCCATGGAAAAACTTGACCTGTAAAAATCTTTCTAAAGTGCCTTTATTGGGTAAAACACAAATTGTATTCTAAAAAAAAATGGCACTGTTCTTTAAGTTTTGACCAAATGTTTTTAAAAGCTTTCCTGGTAGCAAACATAAAAGTCTTCCACCAAACACAGTGAGAGTTTTAAGTGACCTATGAGTGACATCTGCTGAGCAGTTGTTGACTGACGCCAGTCTTCTTCCTTCTGTTTACTCACCAGTCACACACGCTAACAAAGGATTGTTAATGTCCTGCATGTCCTCACGAAGAAACAAATGTTAAAGTCTCACTATGCCTGCAATCTTGTGAGGGAGGACTTTGCGCAACCAATGCTCTACACCTTTTTGGGTTTTATGAAGTCTTTTAGGATTCCCTTCAGAAATAATAGTCCTTGCATCATAGAGTAGGCTACACTGAAATTTCTGAAGGAAGGGGGTGGCAGACACTAACAAATTAAATTAAAATCAACAAGAATATTGGGTGGAGCAGGAAATTGACTGAACTTCCTCAATCCATCTTCAGTCTACCTCTGCAGGAAAGTGGATTCTGTTATATTCATCCAAAATATTTAAAATTTGATGATTTAGTAAATGTGATGTGGTGGGTAGTGAGACAATTCTTAATTGTATGTTTGTTTTGCTTATTCACTTTATCTCCTCAAATAAATTATAAAATATACATGAATATGAGTCATATTTAGAGCACTAATTAACCTTGCTAAGAGTTGGTAAACATGTGGTGCCCATTAAATAAACAACACAAAATACTGAGTTTATATTATTAAAAGGAATAACCATAAAAATGTTAAACAGCTGCTTTTATTGTCTAAGGAGGAAAAATTAAAGTAAATGCAAAAGCACTTATAAGCCTACAAATGTATTAACATTAGTTGTTTTCCAGACTGAATAGTTAATGGAACGATCAGATACAGTACAGTGCATGAGTATTGATGTAGGATCAAATGCAAACAGTCATACTAAAATCAACATTTTATGAGCAGACATTCTAATATACAGACAGTAATCCAATTATTGATATAAAACGCAGAGGATGTTTGTAAAGAGATGGAATAAGGTTCCCTTTGGAAATGATTTATTAATGCTTTATCAAAATATTATTCAATAATTTGTAAACATCTTACAGATTAACAAACATTTATAGAATACTACTCATACATTGAAGCAGGTTACCTATTTGGCAAAATCAAGTGTCGTCACTCAGGCACATGTAATTTTTTGCTAGCCGATTGACCTCTTTTTTTCCTTTTTTTAAATAAATGCCCTTTGATACATTCCAAAAACAAAACAAAACATTTTAATCAAATACTTGTAAAGATCCATTCCAGATGGGAGATGAAACATTTCTCATTTAAAGAATCTGGTCAAGATGTAATAAGCTTTATTATTATTATACCGAGATACAGCGAGAATTTGTCCGTACAGTTGTCCGAAAGATGGGCGGAGTACACATAGCTGCTGCTATGATAGTAATAACAGTTGATAAGGCTTTCCAGTTTTTGAAATCTGCATTTGACATCATCCAGACAGATTTGTTCCATCTCAAACTTGTCCTAAATGCTGACAAAACCAAAGGGATGCTTTTTTCAAAAAGGAAGTTGGTCCCAGCAGTTCTTCATTTCATCCTCAAATGGTGTCTCGATTGAGTTTGTTGATTCCTATAAATATTTGGGTATCTTTGTCGTCTCTTTTAAGCTCCATGTGGAAAACTTGGTAAAGAAACTGAAAGTTAAACTGGGTTTCTTTATCAGAAACAGATCCCGTCTAACTCTGAATGCTAGGAAACGCCTTGGATCTGTGACCTTCCTTCCCTTCATTGATTATGGTGACATTATTTACATGAACGCTCCTACAAGCACCCTGCAGATGTTGGATGCTGTCTATCATGGTGCACTAAGATTCATAACTGACTGTGATTATCGTACCCACCACTGCACCCTGTATTCACTGGTTAACTGGACATCATTAAATTCACGCAGACTCTCTCACTGGTACATTTTCATCTTTAAATCACTTCTTGGTCTGCTGCCTTCATACATCTCCTCCTACATGTCTCTGTGTGAGTGCAGCTACAGTGTGCGCTCTCAGGACATTACCTACAGTGTTCCCTCAGTGCGGACTGAACTAGGCAAAAGGGCCTTCTCCTACTCGGCTCCTGTTTCCCAGAATATCTTACAAAAAGATCTGAAGCTCTCGACCTTGACCTCTCTAAGTGGCTTTAAGAATCTGTTGGACTCCTGGCAAGGACCAATGCAGACATGTTCCTGTTTTCTACATTCGCCTTAGAATCTAGCTGTTTTTTGTTACTTTTCTTTTTTTGGCCATCCTATTTGTTTAAAAAAAAAAAAATCAGTATGCCTTTTTATAACTGTCTATTGTTGTCATCATTCTTTGTTGAAATCAGGTCTCTCTTGTAAATGAGTCCTCGAGGCTCAATGGGGTTTACCTGTCTAAATAAAGGTTGAATGAGGCCTCTTATCCTTTTCAGAATATTTGTTTAAGATAGAAAAGGGGACAAAGCCAAAAAATCTCTTCACACCTTGTCCTATCAGGACATTCATTCAACCTTTATTTATACAGGTTAATCCCATTGAGCCTCGGGGACTCATTGACAAGAGAGACCTGAATGACATGATTTAAGACATCAAAAATACTCCTCCAGCAAGCACATTTATGAACACGTTACACATGCATTTGACGGAAAGGCTGTCCATGAAGCATTTCCAGTCCTGATAAGATGATGGTCAGCCGGCACAGTTCTGATAAGCCTCCATGGTGGGGGCTTGCGATAGACAAAGTTTTTCCTTAGCTTACATATTACCCAGGATAAATTGATATGTCAGCCTGCTTTCGAGGCCAAACCGGGGGATTCAGGTTCAGATAAGCCACAATTGTTGATTTTTTCAGGCAGACTTTTATCCTCCATATTAAAAACGTTACTAGAACCGCCTTCTTTCACCTGCGTAATATCACTTGATTAGAAACATTTTTTTCTATCTTCAACATTTGTTTTGGGGCAGCACGGTGGCACAACTGGTAGAGCTGCTGTCTCTCAGCGAGCAAGTCCCCGGTTCAAATCCCGGTCTGGGGGCCTTTCTGGGTGGAGTTTGCATGTTCTATCCGTGCATACATGGATTTTCTCCGGGTACTCCGGTTTCCTCCCACAGACCAAAAACATGCATGTTAGGCTGATTGGTAACTCTAAATTGTCTCTAGGTGTGAGTGAGAGAGTGAATTGTTGTTTGTCTCATTTGTCTCTGTGTGCCCCTGTGATGGACTGGAGACATGTCCAGGGTGTACCACGCCCCTCGCACAGTGATTGCTGGACATGGGCACCGGCGACCCTCGTGACCCAAAATGGAATAAGTGGGTAAAGATAATGGATGGATGGATGAACTGAATAATTTAACATAATAATAATAATAATACTTTATTTATAAAGCCCTTTAAAACAACCACAGCTGCCACAAAGTGCTGTACATATAAAATCAAGAACATTTAAACACATAAAAACAGTTGTTAAAACATTAAGATCAATAGAAATAATAAAAACAGTGCAGAGTAAATTCAGTGTGTGCTAAAAGCCAGGAAGTAAAAATGTGTTTTTAAAAGAGTTTTAAAACTGGACAGTGAAGGGGCTTGTCTGATGGGAAGAGGGAGATCGTTCCACAGTCTTGGAGCAGCAACAGAAAAAGCTCTGTCCCCTCTGAGCCTCCGCTTGGACCTCGGCACCTCCAGGAGCAGCTGATCAGCT